TTTTGCATAGCGTCATCATCTTTGTTTAACGGGGCGTGTCATTACTGCTAATTGCTTCACTAATAATGTAGAGATGAGAATCTGAATGGCTGAGTTATTTATGCACGTAGGATGGTTTAATCCGTAATTTTTTTTAAATATTGTGTATGAAAGTCGACTTGTCGAAAATGACACTGCAGAGGAGACGGGCAGGATTTTGCGTTTTACTTTTCAGACTTGAGGAGTTGTTTTTTTTACAAAAAAAATTCTGCAGGTTTGTGCAGAAAAATTTATCAATTGTTTCGGATTTTAAATCTCTAAATTTCCAAATCTCCAAATTGGTAAATTATGAAACACTTATTAAACCCAAAGTTCGAAAAATGCATACATAATACATATCTACAAAAAATATATTATTTGTAGTTAAGCCATGTCGTTTTTAGTTTCTTAATTTATTACACAGAATTTTTTATGACATTTAACCAAAACACTGCAAAAACTAATTACTCAATTTAATTCCAGTAAAAATTTGCTCTATTAATCTATTAAAAAAATATAATCCAGCCAAGTCTGGCAAAATAGATACATCATAACATGACATCACATCAGACGACCACTATCACTGGCAAGTATTTGAGCAGTATTACCACTTAGATAACAAAACAAAATTTTCCGTCCACATACAACTCCTACATAAACATGCAGCTAAACTCCCTCCAGTTACATAAACTTATGTAAAAGGAGAAAGGCTTCACTTTTGGCATGAATAATCCATTAGAGGATGACAGAGAAAAGTATAAAACCTACTCCAAGCAACTTTGCGGGGCCTTTTAAGATGGCATTAATGCCATCTTGGTAGTTAATGGCAACACATTTGGGTGGAAAAGACCCCCACCGGCCAACTACTTGGCCGATCATGCCCATCTCGGAACTCATCCTTACTTTTGACCCGAAGATGAAGTGTGTAAAATTTCAAGTCGATAGCTTGTGTTTAAAGAGAGTTATCGTGCGCACAGACGGACGCACAGACGGACGGACAGACAGACATCTTGGCAAATCTATAAGGCCATCTTAAAAGGCCTAAAAATGCAGTGGCAATGGATTCAGTGACCCATCTAAATAATGGGACAGGATTCGCAGCTTTTTTAACAATTTCGCCAGTTCTCATAATTCTGACGTGATTCTGCTGGCTAATTATTGTTATCTTTTGACAGCATTTTTTTTCACGACGAAGAAGAAACCCACCAAACCAGTGCTTTTTAAGCCTCCTCCTTGTCTAATGTCATGTCGAGCTGCTGCACATTTTTTAAAATTCAAATTTATTCCATAACTAATGAGAAGATGACAAATGGATTGGATCAAAAGAATCAAATTTTTTTCTAACATCAAGTGGCGGTTGCAATTTCAATATTTACAAGTAAAAATGCAGTAATGATTAATATTTGCCAGTGGTTAATTAAGATGCAGAATACAGATATACTTATTTATATTTTTTGATTTTACTGAAATGCTCGTTTGGAGGTTAAAAATAATAATATATACGATTAAAGTTAGGCCGATGAATGAAATATCAAATTATGAACTTCATTATAATTTTATTTTATTTTTGAATTTAGCTTTTATATTTAGTGCAATGCATTAATGAAATATGTATTTATTAAAAGTGAAGCCGGAATTAATTTAGCATCTTCTTAGTTTTTAAATTTACAAAATTAAATGCGAATGCAGCCTCCATCCATCACGTCTCATGCATAATATTTTTGCACATTAATTACTTGCTAGATTATGAAAAGTACTTTTATTTTGCATCTATTTCCAGGGACCGATTGCCATCGTTGGACCTTTCGTGTAAGGGGTAGGAGAAATTTTTTGAAGGGAATATTCCGCCCAGGGTCTTGGTAGCTCAGTTGCTTTTTAGAATTTTCATGTAAAATTCGATCTACTGGCCTGCTAAGTCCCAAGGAGGGTACTCCCCCAGTCACCACGCCCAACACCACCCACCCACGCAGCTAGAATCACTTGAAATTTTGACCTGTCTCCTAACTACAAGTGTCTCATGATGACAATAACCGAGTCGACTCACCTTACAACTTTGGGAAGTATTTTTTATAATCAATTTCTATAACCAAACCTTCGAAAATATTTCAATTTTTTCGTAAATTCTTGAAAATGAGTGCAGTAACAATACCACCTCAAAGCTCGAGACGTCAAAAATGTACATGCAGTATTTTTTAGCCCGAGTCAGGGCTTGTGGAACCGTCATGTCCGTCCGTCCGTCTGTCTGTCTGTCTGTCTGTCTGTCCGGCACGATAGAGCCAAAACGGCTGAACCGATTGACTTGAAATTTTTACCATATGCATATTGGACAAAGTTAGGAAACGAGTTCGAAGATGGGCGAAATCGGTCCAGTGGTTGACCGTTGGGGGTCATCGGAGTGGTTGGGGTAGTATGCACCAAAATTTCAAAATTGTTATAGAGAGCTGAAATTTGGTACAGAGGTTGCTAATGGCTCCTACGAGATAAAAATGACTTCAAGTTGGAAAATTTTTTATCTTGAGTGACCCTATGGGGTGACCCATACTGATTTTTCAAAATCGTTATATCGAGCTGAAATTTGATATGGAGGCTGAAAAAGTGAAAACCACTGCTGGGTAGCACATGCATACAGGAACAGCTTAGAACTTCAGGATGTTAAAGAAGCCCACTGGTCATGGTGGTCAAGGCACATGATTTGTAACTAATTCAAAAATTTTGTACCAAATGGTAGAAACTATCTAACAAATTTTGACCATCCACAACGCGGAAGTTTGTGCTATTATGTCGGTAAATTCGGAAAAAAATTAGAAGCGGGCTCGGACTTATTGAGTCAGGGACTATGTCCCTGACTCGGGCTATATGGAGTCTGCACTGTAGGTTTTTCAGCTCTAAATTGGAGAAATTGTACTCGTAGTAAATCTGACGTTGATACATATTTGTGCGGAGGGGTAACAAAATAAGTATCATGTCAGGATGATATATCTCCATTTGGCCATTATGTAATCATGTCAAGTAAAACTAAGGATAAGTAAATGTCGCGTTTTTTTAAAATTGTAATGACACCACAAAACCTGACTCGGGCTAAATAAGGTCTTGTTTACTCCACAGACACTATTACTTTTTGAATGCAACTTAATCCTAAATTTTTATTTATTGAATTTGTGTGAAACAGAGAAAGAGAAATAAAAGTGATACATAATGAAAGGTAATTTTTTATGAAATCATAAAATTTCAAATATTAATTAATCCCACTATAGGTATTCAATTCAAGTAGGATCAATTCAATCAGTTTTTTTTAGGCAGAGTTGGTAACGTCAAAGGTTTCGTAAATCGCGTCCCAAAATTCCATTCGCTTTTGGAAAGCTTCCGTATCTCGTACAATTTTGGGGGTGACATCCACCTTGTAAATTTTGTTGGGTTGGTTTCCATCAAAATGGAACTGCTCCCATTCCTCCCCTTCTCCCCAAGGTGCGCTGGGTTTCCTGGTAAAAAAATGGTAAAATGTACATCGGAAATTATGAACACTGATTTTATAAAATAATTTTCTCACCCAGTTTCAAAAAACGAAGTCCACATTCGAACCATTCCTTTGGACAAGATGTACTCGACTGGTGGCGAGTCTCCCGTCGTTACCGGAACCATGAAAGAGTTGGACATGTTGAACAAGTACTGGAGATCGTCCCAATGGCCTGGACCTACGCACACAAATATTTACTAACGTAACACTCGGGGACTTATCACCAAAATAAACATATTTTTAATCATAAGTAATTAATCAGTTTTAATTTTTGTCGTTAAGAATTTTAAAATAAATTCCCAGCGCCGAGAAATGATTAAAAATGTGTGGGTTTTGACCATTTTGGTGATGAGTCATCGAGTCCTATATTTATTAATTAATTAATGGAACATATTAAACGTGGCCTTTTTTACTGACCCTTGGGAAGATTTTGATATCCAATCATGTCCACTGCCCGATTCGGGGTTTCGGTGTGGTTGAATCGGTACACGTACATTGGGACAACGCCATCCCAATGTTTGGAAATAAATCGCAAAAAGTGTTCGTACTGCTTGTCCGTAAACATGTCAATGAAGCTTTCACTCGAAATGGTTCCGTCCTTGGAGTAAAAGTCGAAAATTTGTTTCGCCATTCCAGCAGGGTCTTGCGCATCCGAAAAATCCAGGATTTGAGGCCCATCTTCAATCCAATCTTTAATCGTTTTCTTATAAAGGGCCGTATCGTTGAGGAAGGCTAAGAATAAAAATTTGTGTATTTTAATCAGAATTTGGTTTATTTTGCTAATAAATATTCATATATTGTGCGTGACTAGATTTTTACTGGCACTGGCCGGGTCCAGCCCATCCATCGCGGTGGTGCCCATAATTAATGGCACGTTGTTCGGGACCTTTCCACTCTTTATAATTTCGAACGGATGTTTCGGCAGAAGTCCGCCCTTCCCATCGACTGATGGGCCAAAAATCGCGATCTGCTGCATCGCTTTGAAATCGGACATGTCTGCAGTTGGAACTTTCATTTTCTTGAGAAGCTCAAGTGGTTCCATTTCTGAAAATTTGCATCCATTCTTAATATCCAAATAAGTATGAAAATGCGTAACTTTTTTTTAGGAAATCTCACTCTTCAAGCATTTCACAAACTCGTCCGACTTCTCACTGTTTGGACACCCAACCTGTTCACCCATCTTTTTGGCCTGGATTACCGGATCTTTGACGAATGAGCAGGAATTAATCGTGCTGCTCATGACGACTGCGCGATGAAAAAGGCCTTTGTCCTCGGGGTTGATGAGATGGAGAAGCGCATCCACGCCCCCAGAGTCTGCCCCCATCAACGTCACCCTCTCCCAGTCTCCCGAAAACTTGTGAATATTCTTCCTCACCCAGTTCAAGGCGAGGCTCTGATCCCGCAGACCCACGTTTCCGGGAGCATTGGCATCTCCCGTGTTTAAGTAACCGAACGGGCCGAGGCGACTGTTGGGCGTGACGAGGACGACGTCTTGGTCCATCACGTAGTGCGGATTGTATTGTTGTGCAGAGCCGAAAAAGTGGCCCCCTAAGTGAAGAACGACCACGACTGGGTAAAGTTTCGTGAGATGACCGGATTTGGGTAACTGGTATGAATCAACATTTTATTTACAATTTATTACAGTATTTTCAAATTATTTATAAATTTCCAGAAATTTTATAAACACCTTTGGAGTAAAAACGTTCAAATTCAGACACTCTTTTTCCCCAGTGAATTCTCCGTTTAAGCAATCAAACTGGGCGCAGACTGGGCCAAACGCGGTAGCATTGAAGACATTTGACCACTTGTCGGCAGGGACGGATGGCTGCATAATTAGTCAAATTGATGCATATTTAATTTAAATACTCGAAAGGAGTTTACTTTTCGCACCTGAAATCTTTCAACGACTTTTCCGAATGGAATTCCCTTAAATTGATAGAACACTCGACCACCTCTCGCATTCTCCGTGGAACCCTGAACTAATCCGTCTCCTAATTCGAGCAAGGGTTCCTCAGCCAAAGTTGGAGTGACCGCTGCACCCACAACGAAAAGTAGAAGACAGGCCAAAAATGTACGAAAACTCATTTCTCTAGTTTTTTAAGAGTTTTTATCCGACTCAATCTAAAGTCAGGTACGGACTGGGACCCGGCATCAGGTTTCATTCCTTTATATATCGCTTACATTTTGATTTGCAGCACATCATCCTAGCAGCATTATCAGCGGAATGGGACTGAAAAAAGAATGAGAAGAACGCAAAAGGAAAGTTTGGCATGTCAATATTGTGCAGTTTTTTGCCGGTGATGCATGATGCTATTGACCAAGGTTAATGGGAATAATCGTGAATGCAACGTTCCTACATTTACTCGACTGAAGTGGGTTTTGCAATGTGTAAAATTCGTACAATTCGCGTTTCTGCAACTATTACGTAAAGACATGGGTACAATTATGCACCCACACATGTATTTTAGTGCTGGGTGTCGAGTTTTTAGCCTGTTTAGCATGGTGACTTATGTCTGTCGACACAAAAAGCGTTTTATTAACGTTGCTTTGCATGAAGATGTACTTCCAATTAATTATTTCAGGCATTTCTTCGCGACAATATAACGTTTTATACTATGTTTACTTACATGTAGAATTAGTATAATTTTACTTCACTAGTTAAATACTTTGCTACTGTAATCTGTGTTTTGCTGGAGATTGGCAATACCTGCATCTATAATCTTATGCACACTCTCGATAATCTTTGGATAAGATTGTTCCCGGTGGAAGCAGTATGCACTATGCAATTCTACCAATTTGGTAACTTGCCACTCAAGTGAGAAGGTAAACCCTGCTCAATCCATCATATCAGCGACCTAGTATGTAACTTGATTAAATTGGATATTTTACTAAATTTCTGAAAGTAATGAGAATTAGTCAGCAAATAAATAATCTAATTTAATTAGACTTGTACCTAAAATGCAACAATTTCAAATATTTGTAATTAGTACGAATTGTCTACAAATGTTGATAATATAATTTTATCAACCATTGATGGACACCTGCTGCAACTTTTTATTTCTTAATCGGATCTCCAGATTATCGTCGCTAAACCTTTCCGTATAAAATTCAATGTCACATTCCATAAATAATTCAATAGTTTAAACTTAAAAATAAATTAATTGCACGTTTCAAACTTTTCTTCCTTCTTTGGAATTTCGAAAAGTGCTTTCCTCAATTCAATCCTAGCTGAATGGTTTCGTTTTGTCGTTTGAAACGGAGCGATTTTTATGTTTTATGATTTATCCTAAAAAATCTTGCCATTGGTCAGAAGTTCAAATTTATACAAATCGTAAAATAATGAAAATAATTAATCCTGCAATGTATTAATTTAATTATTTAATACAGCAATTAAAATAGTGTATTGTCAATTTATGGCCAAAAAGAAAGTGATTAAATTGTTGCGGTGTGTCGACATTCCCATTTATTTTGACGTGTTTGGTTATCACATTAACATTTTAAAGTCTGCAAATACAAATTTAAATTACCAAAAGTAATCCTGTTATTTAATTTCGCATGTACATATTTACATACATACGTACTGAATAACACAAACAAATTATTCCTTACCTCATCTTTCTTATCCAATAATCCTTTGGCAAAACAAATCTGAAATTTTGCTGCTTTTATGCACACATTTTCGTTAGTTTTATCTGCAAAAAATAAGTAGATAAGTCTCAATGATAACCACATTTCATTATTTCTTACCTCCCTCATCCGCACATGCAGTCATAACACTCAATCACTTTATCAATTTTTTCAATCGAAAATTTCAGTAATTTTAAAAATTCCTGACGATTTAATTTTTGATCCGATGTTATCTGCAAAAAATTAAAACCACAAAAGTTAATTTCTTATTAATCACCACATTTAGCAACAACTCACCAATTTCAACTCGTCCCCAACACATTTAGCGAAACATTTGTCGTCAAACTTTGTCGCTTCAAAATCAATGAAAAACTTACTCAGGTCAGATTCACTTTTTATTTCTGGAAATGTAAATTTTGTAGAATTTAGACAAGATTTTATTGCCGATGCGATTTGAGGTGTATTCGGCAAAACGGCTCCATTTGCTGGGTCGCATTTTGCAGGGGGTGCGGCTTGGCTGGTTGCCAAAACCATGAAAAATACTATTTGACCCAAAATCATGATTTCGACGATTGGAATGATGTAATATTTTTTGTGCTCGTTCAATTTTATTATAAAATATTCGCAATGTAACGTCCGCTAATTATTTTAAATTCGACTTTTTGCACATGAACATATTGACAAGGTACATATTGGAGTGCAATTGCTGTCTCACTATAATTAACTTGTTAAATTTAAACTTGATTATTTCTAATAAAACTTTTATGATTTTTGTCCACTCATAAAAATGACAAAATACTTAACCTTGATCTCCATGCACTTACATAAATCTCTAAATTACGATCTTCACGTCTTTTTGCTGTATAGTTTTATTTCGGAAATATATAATCAGAGTCACCTACTCATAATTTAGCGAATGATGCTTAAAAAGGAACAAAAATGGAAAAAAGTATGAGCGTCATATCATATCGTAACTATTGAATTTTTACATCAACACTCAAATTTAGTAACATCCATCCAACCAATATGTGCATATGTGTAACACGTCATTTCATCGTGTCGCTAAAATTTTTTTCTTCTGTATCTACACTAATTGATTGATTAATGCTTTATTCAAGTGTCTAACAAGTTCACAGTACAAACTATACCTTCAATATTATTGCAATGGTTCAGAATAATTTTGTTTTATCGGCGTCACTTTTTCACACTTTAAAAAAGCTAAACTCAGAGATCACAGATTTCGCAGTTTTTATTTTTCATTTTGTAAAAATTGATTAAGAACAGATATCAAACTATTTAGGACGGAAATTATTTATTTACAAACTCGGTGGATACAATTAATCATGTATTCTTATTTAGCAGACCACTCTTGTTCCCAATCTGTTTCGCAGGATTTCCGGAAGTCGGACATCCTACAAGCAAATTAAAACCAAAAACAAAATTAGAAAACCAAAAAACCTACACGATTTTGAGAAGCACGTTGCATAATTTTCGTAAATTCTTTAATACCTTTAGGCTTAAGTTGATCTGTCTCCTTAACAGCGTATTGACTTCTTTCCTCATCTGAGGTTCGAAAGCTGCAAACAGTGCCGTGGCGAACATGTTGAGGACCGTGTTTGCAAACCCAGATGCGATTTTATTTCCTCCCAACCCGTCAAAATTCACTTCCAGCCGACCCACGCGCATCCGAAAGTCTAACGTCGACACGGAAACTCTCCCCGTGTCAGGATCGATCACAAATTTTACATAAAACGCATTCGAAATATTTTCATATCGCGTGGAAAACGGGCCAGAGCCGATCAGTGGGAAGATTTTTAGTAGCTGGCCGTGCAGTTCGTAATTACCTGCGGGTAAGAGATCAGCAAAGGTAAATGGCAAAATTCGTGGATGCAATTTTTACAAATAAGTTCGCATACAATTTTTGCATACAAATTTTGCATAGGGTTTTGACTGTAAATGCACACAAAATAGCACTAAATTTGCAAGGTTAATTAGGTGAAAACGATACGTAAACCAAAGACAATGTGTATGCGCCTAGTAGAAAACCTCACTTGTTTATTACCAAAGATGAATACTTACCCGATATTTTGAACCGGCCGAGATGAATGTCAAGGTCAAGGTCAACCCTTGATAGGAGGTGAGTATCGACACGGGTCAGATTAAAAGTGGATAAACCGTGGATGGAAATGTCTCTGAAAAGTAAACCATATTTTATTTTCAAAGTTTTCCTAATTAATTAATTTCTTGTGTTTTATGAACAACGTTAGTTATAAAAAATAAGTAACTAAATATTTAGACCATTGTCTAAAAATTTCCAAGGTTGAAGCCAAAACTGAAATTAAAGTGGGATGGCAGTATTAATGTAAATGAAAAGTAGAGTAGAGAATACGCTATGGCGTGAATACGTGGACGTGGAACGCGTCATGTTTATAATTAAATTACTGATAAACTGGCATAATTTAACGCCAAAAAGTTCAATCTTAAGGCTGTTAAAATATAGTATAGGCTTCCTATTGATCTGAATTTTGTTTTAAATTAGTAAATTAAAAGCTTTTAAGTGACAGTTTTAATTTAATTCCAAGTTTCTGGAGCTCATGGGTTACATAATTGATCAGTTTGAATATAAATGGATTTAGACTCACGTGAGCCACCCCCAGACCTCGTAGTACTCGTGGTACAGGTGGAATGGGAATTTTTGGATGTGCAGAGGTTCGAGGGGAGGTATCCCCCACTTGGTCAGCCCCTCCCTCATCCTCCCCCGCAATTCCTCAGCACCGGAAACCACCAGCTTTTTCACTTCCTCAACAGCTATGCATATTTGCGCCTCGATCTGCGAATTCAGCTCAACCATCGGACTCATGGCGACATTATTCGCCATCGCTTGCCAATCTGACGCCATTTCGGGCGAATCTGGTATTTCGGAAATAAATTTTCATATTAAAATTTTCTATTGAACTTCTGGTAAATATTTGTTTTTTAAAAATTAAGTGTGCTTAAAATTTCCAATTTTGTAAGTCAAAAATGTAGGAAAACATTCTATTCTTCAAAACTTTGGTTTATTTTCGCGTTATTTTCTACGAACTTTCCCAATACCTTAAAATTTCGTATTTTGAACGCCTACCAAAAAAATCTGCCTTCAAAACGCTCCATAAGTTCGGCAAGAGTAGGAAACTTCGTACGTCGGCACCTTTTTTCATTATGTAAATTACTTCCTTATTCTCAGTACAACTTTATGGTAGAACTAAACGATTGATTGGGAACGATTGGGAATTACTTTCGCGCAGAGATGCGAAATGGGACTGAAAACAAATATCGTGCAAATCTTGGAAAAACATCAAGCTCAAAAGCAAACTAATTAATGTCGGAGTGGAACAATAGGACATGAAATTATTTTTATAGTGACATTACTTAATCTAATTTTAATACTTTTTTACGACGGATGTACGCTTCATTAAGTTCACGTGCAAATATTATGATGTGCTCCATCAGAATAAATTTACTCACTTGTATTTACAAATACATAGTTTGTAACCCAGTAAAAAATGTGCAATAAGTTCGAAGTAAAAATTATTATAAACTTTATATTAAAAAACTCTACGATCTAGATGTATAAGCGAATTTTATTTTTAAATATTCAGTAAATGGATAATAATACTTCGAAATGAATGTCTTTGGTCATTACGATCTTGCATAGTTACAGTTGTATGGGCTATAACCTTTCTGCCCAAAAAGTCCTGTTTTGATAGGAATCGAGCGTGCACGCGCTCTTCCCAACTTTTGCACGAAATTTTAAACTTTGTCCTAGAGATGCGAAATTTGGCATGCACATGCACCAACATATGCTACATCATAATATAACATCAATTCCTGTTCCGTTCGCTATAAATTTTTCAGGAAAAATCAAAAACTAAATTGAATACGGGTGACATTTGGTTTTTGATTTTTCCTGAAAAATTTATAGCAAACGGAACGGGAATTGATGTTATATTATGATGTAGCATATGTTGGTGCATGTGCATGCCAAATTTCGCATCTCTAGGACAAAGTTTAAAATTTCGTGTAAAAGTTGGGAAGAGCGCGTGCACGCTCGATTCCTATCAAAACAGGACTTTTTGGGCAGAAAGGTTATAGCCCATACAACTGTAAATTAAATTTAAAGTATGAAAGTATTTATTAACGTCGTGTATGGTATACAATTTACGTTAATCTTGATTTGCTTGAAATGCCAGAATTTCAAGAATTGATTTCGGTTCTGAAGTTTAAAAACTAATGTGTCAAAGATAAGTACTGTCCAAGGCATGATTTCCGGCTAAATTGAAACGGCTGTAGCAAGTCTTGCCAAAATCACCTTTCTTAGATTTTCACACGAAATTTAGTTTATAATGTTAACTACCTCTGAGCGAAAAAGCTAAGAAAGGTGATTTTGGCAAGGACCGCTACGGGGGCTCAAAGTCAGGTTGGATTTTGACTTTTCCCATGAAAAATGAATGAAAAAATGTTTTGCATATTTTTAGTTGTTATGATGATAAAAAATTGTAAAGAGACAGATAATAACAAACACAAAGAGAACATCACATCACGGAACTGGGTTTGTTTTATTTCTCTGTCCTCCTGTTCATCTCATTTTTGAAATCTATGTTGGAGTTTTCGGTGCTACTCACCGTCATTAATCGTTCATTTTTACATCCTCATTTATATTTTCTGCACCACTCGTCGTTTTTCGTTCGTCCAACCTACTCAAGACAAGACGCTGCTCAACTTTACGTTCGAGACGATTCGACCACCTAATCTTCTCACGCCTCCAAAATTTTTTTTTTCTCCGCCATCATTGTTCAAGGTATATTTAACTTTTCTTAAATCATCATCACAGTTGCCAGTATTGTTGGATACAAGTCGTCAGACCACGATGCCGCTCTTCAAGTCACTAGATATATGGCAATATGTAAACTTGACGCTACTTCCTCCCCTCCCGCCATCATCGTCATCACCCCCGCTGCCGCTGTCATCGTCCCCGCTGCTGCCGTCATCGTCCCCGCTGCCGCCGTCATCGTCCCCGCTGCCGCCGCCATCGTCCCCGCTGCCGCCGCCATCATCATCCTCACCACGACCACATCCAGGACCAAGAAAGAAGAGGAATAAGCAAAAGAAGAGGACAGGACCAAGAAAATGTCCTCCTCCCACATCCTCCCGACCGCTCCCCCATACCACCGAGGGTTTAAATCCCGTTTCCGATGACCTTTTCTGTCCGGTGTCGGGCTGCCCAGGACCATCATCTTCAGCAACAGATGAGTGGATAGAATGTTCTGCATGTCTTTTGTGGTATCACACCTCTTGTCTTCTTTTGCAGGCCATTCCTGAAGATGACTGGTTCTGCGCAAACTGTCCCCAAATACATACACAAATAGGCCCCCAAGTAAACTCAAACACACCGTCGCCTGCAAATCAGTCTACTCTAGGCACACATAGTCAAATTACACAGTCAAGCCCCTGTACAAATCCACGTGCATCACAACCAATTTCTACATTAAGTACACCACTTTCAAATTTTATATCTAGCAAGGCAACATGTACATCTCTCACATTAGAGTGGCTAAATAACAATATAGTCCCAGGAGGTATAATTGAGAAAAATCTGTTACATGAAGCGTATAGACAGGACTCGTTCGGCATTTTCAAACCCTTAAACGATGCAGAAATTGGGAAATTGATAAAAAATTCATTTTCAAACATTAGGACCAAAAGACTTAGGACAGAATTTCATGGCGCTTCGAAATATCATTACGTAGGGATCCAGTTAAAATCAGAACAAGTTCCAGAAACTGTTTTTGATTTCAAATCTATTATTTCCTCTCTTAGGCAAAATTGTCCAACTCTCAAACAATGCCCCAAGGCCTGTAGAATTCCGGTAGCACAATCAATCAAGTCAGCCATAGATAAATGCATAACTGAAAACACACCAGAGGCATGGCACCTTCTTTTGACTTTTCCATATGTAACATTACAATGTGATTCAAGGGCAAATATAAAGAATGGTCAAAGTCTTAACAACAAAATTAGAAATAATTTATCTATTTTTGAATCCTTAGATAAAAATACTTATCAGGACTATCTCATTTCACTTTCATCCAAAAATTCAGTCTTTGATAAGTCAGGTAGCAAAATCAACGACATAGGGCCAAAAGTCATATCTAAAGTTTCCGAAGGAAATATTCGTGGCGCGATACGGGTTTTAACATCAGATGATGTTGTCGCTCCCAATTCTTCAGCGACTTTGGACACACTTGTAGAAAAGCACCCACAACAATCTTTAGACAATTTTACTGTTTTAGATGAGCCTAACATTCCACCATTTACTACGACAACAGAGCAGGTTATCTCAGCAATATTCTCATTTCCTAGTGGTTCAGCAGGGGGTTTAGATGCATTACGACCACAAATTCTGAAAGATCTAGTTTCACAACATACTGGTGACGTAGGAACTCAATTGTTAGAATCTCTTACAAAATTTTGCAATTTTATGTTAGCAGGAAAAGTTCCTTTAGATATTTGTCCTTTCATTTACGGTGCAAGTCTTACGGCCCTTAAAAAGAAATCAGGTGGTATTAGACCTATAGCGGTAGGTTGCACTTATCGTAGAATAGTTTCAAAGATTTGTGTGAAGGTCATGAATCATGTCTTTCAGGATTATTTTAGTCCAGTCCAAGTAGGTTTCAACGTAAAAAATGGTGCTGAAGCAGGAGCACACGCTGCCCGTAGATTCTTTTCCTTTCCACATCAATCACCTACAGCCTTCCTTAAAATCGATTTTAAGAATGCATTTAATATGGTAGATAGAGGGAAATTGCTTTCATCCGTTCACGAACTTGTACCAACTTTGCATCCTTATATTAATCAGTGCTATAGATTCTCATCCAGTCTTGTGTGGAATTCTTCTTTAATTGATTCATGTAGAGGTGTTCAACAAGGAGATCCGTTAGGTCCACCACTTTTCTGTTTAACCTTGCATCCAGTCATTTCAAATTTAGGGTCAGAATTTAATATGTGGTACTTAGATGATGGTACATTAGGTGGCAATCCTACTACAGTGTTAGACGATTTTCAACATATTATCTCATGTGCAAATGAAGTAGGTTTAGAATTGAACTTTGATAAATGTGAGGTTTCAGTTTTAGGTCCACAAACTAACACGCAATGTATACTAGAATCTTTCCAATCAGTTGCACCAGGTATTTCATGTATGACTCAGGAAAATGCTGAACTTTTAGGTGCACCTTTGACTCTTGAATCTATTGAACATGTTTTCCGCAAAAAGATTCACGCTTTTACTAACATGGCTGGTCGATTGCATTCCATTCCAAGCCATATTGCGTATTATCTCTTGAAACATTCACTAGCTATTCCACGATTAGTTTATCTACTAAGGGCAGCCCCTATTTTTAAATCTCCACATTTGCTAGAGGAGTTTGATTCATTGCTCCATAATGCCTTAGAACAAATTACAAATTGCCAAATTAATCCTTTGTCTTTAGAAGAAATTGCATTACCAATTAAATTAGGTGGTTTAGGAATTAGACAATCTAAAACATTAGCAACTCCATGTTTCCTTGCATCTTCATTTGCCACCACTGACTTGGTTTCTTTAATTTTGCCCTCGTATGTCACTGCTTTGTCCGATTAACTTGTGACCGAGGCGCAGGACTTGTGGAAGTCAATTAGTTGTGAAGAACTACCTCGCAGTACAATTACTTCTTTTCAATCATCCTGGGAAAGTCCAATTTTCAATTACGTATCTTCACGTATCCTGGAATCATCCACCACCCCAATAAATACTGCTAGGATTTTGGCATCAAGGTCAAAAGAATCAGGTGCATGGTTGCAAGCTTTACCATCGAGGAATTTAGGCACACTTTTAGA